TAATTAATTTTTAAAAAATTTAAAATTTTTGTGTTCCAAAGGACACTATTGAGAAAATAAAAAGATAATCCACACAGAAAAAAATATTTGCAAATCATATAGCCAATAAAGGACTTATGGACACAACATATAAAGAACTGTTACAACTTAATAATAAAAAGACAAATCACTCAATTCATTGTTGTTATTGATGTTGTTTTCAATGCTAGATTATCAAACACAACAATGAATGCATGAGCAACAGAAAACAAAATAGATAACTGGGACCTCATGAAAGTTAAATACTTAAGTTCATCAACAGATTTTATCAAAATGGTAAAGACGACCTATGAACTGGGAAAATATCTTTGAGAACCATAAAATGGGTAAGAATCTAATGTCTAAAATATATAGAAAACTTCTAATCAGCCCAATTGGCCTCATAGACACATACAAAACACTCCACCCCACAAAATGCCATACACATTCTTTTCCAGTGCACAAGGATCATTCTCCAGAATAGACCATATGCTAGGCCACAAAACAAGCCTCAATAAATTTAAAAACATCAAAATTCTACAAAGCATCTTCTCAGATTACAATGTTATAAAATTAAAAATCACTAATAGGAATATCAGGAGAGATATCAAATGCTTAGAAACTTAATAACACCCTGCTCAATATAGACATAAAAATCTTCAACAAAATCCTAGTCAGTAGAATCCAACACTATGTCAAAAAATAATGATCTAAGTGGATTAAATAATATAAATAGTAATACTAGGGTATGCAAGGATGTCTTAATGCCAGGAAAGCAATCAATGTAATCCACTACATAAATAACACAAAGGGAAAAAAACACATTATCATATCGATTGATGCAGGAAAGGCATTTGATAAAATCCAGCACTAATTCTTGATTTAAAAAAAAAAAAAAAAGAAACTCTTAGCAAAATAGGATGGAAAGGAAATTCCTCAACATAATGAAGGGTATATATACAAAACCTATGGCCAACATTGTTCTCAATGGACAGAGACTGACGGCATTCCGCTTGCAAACAGGAACCTGTATAACCACTCCTATTCAGCAATGTATTGGACTTTTTAGCCAGGGCAATAAGGCAAGCAAGAGAAATAAAAGGCATCTAAATTCGCGAAGATATAAAACTATCTCTATTTGAAGATGATTTGATCCTATACATAAAAAACCCAAGAGAATCAACAAGAAAACTACTGAACTAATAGAACGATTCAGCAAACTGGCAGCATAAAAGATCAGCATACGAAAATGAGTTAGATTCCTCTACATCAACAAAGAGATCTCTGAAAAGGAAATAAGGAAAACAATACCAGTTACAATAGCTACCAAAAAGATAAAATAGTTAGGAATGAATCTTACTAGAGACACAAAAGACCTAAAACCAAGAAAAGAAAAAAAAACTCACTGCCATCGAGTTGGTCCCGACTCATACAGACCCCTCCCTGAGTTTCCAAGGCACTTTGTTGTTGTTGTTGTTAGGTGCCGTCGAGTCATTTCCGACTCATAGTGACCCCATGCACATCAGAACGAAACACCACCAAATTCCACACCAGCTCCATGATATTTGCTATACTTGAGCCCATTGTTGCAGCCACCGTGTCAATCCATCTCTTCAAAGGCCTTCCCCTCCTTCGTGGACCCTCCACCTTACCCAGCATGACATCCTTCTTCAGGGAATGGTCCCCTCTGACAACATGACCAAAGTACATGAGACAAAGTCTGGCCATCCTTGCTTCCAAGGATCATCTTGGCTACACTTCGTCCAGGACAAATTTGTTAGTTCTTCTGACAGTCCATGGTACTTTCAGTAGCCTTCACCAGCACCACAACTGAAAAGCATCAACTCCTCTTCGGTCTTCCTTATTCATTGTCCAGCTCTCATATGCATATGAGGTGATTGAAAATACCATGGCTTGGGTTAGGTGCACTTTAGTCTTCAAAGAGACATCTTTGCTCTTCAGCACTTTAAAGAGATCTTTTGTAGCAGATTTGCCCAATGCAATATGTTGTCTGATTTCTTGACTGCTGCTTTCATTGGTGTTGATTGTGGAACCAAGTAGTATGCAATCTTTGACAACTTCAATCTTTTCTCCATTTATTGTGATGC